GGGGGGGGGCAGGCTGTGGGGAGCACAGCATGGGGGGGCAGGGCCAGGCCCTGGGGAGCACAGGGTGTGTTCAAGCAGCCACTGGGGCTGTCTACAGGCCACCCCTCCAACTCGGGGGCCACTGACTGGAGAACGGGTGGGCAGGGCCAGCAGGGCACAGGGAGAGGCTGTTCCACACAGGTATCCAAAATGCAGGGCACAGCGGCCACAGAATTGACATGCGCCTGCTGAGTGCCGGGCACTTCTCACGCCTCCCTCATCTCCTCACCACAGCCCTGGACTAGGGAACCCCTTTACAAGGAGGACACCGGGGCTCCGGAGAGTCTGCACAGGGTGGAAACCCTGGTGTGTGGAGACGTGTCCAGTGATGTCAGACCATTTCTAGGCCGCTGTGTTGTCCAGAGGAGACACAGGGCCTCGCCTAGGGTGGGGCTGCAGGAGGAGCTGTCTGGAGCCAGGGCAGGTCCCCCACCGCCCTGCAGTTATGCGTGAACAGCAGTCTCGCCTGACTCCCGGGAGATACACTCCAGGACCCCCAGGGGGTGCCTGAGAGGGATAGGAGCACGCCCTACACACACTTGTAAGCGTTAAGTAGTTTCATCTTCATAAGCACCCTATACGGAAGGTGCTATTATCAGCCTCATGGTACAAATGACAAAACATTTGTCTCCGGCAGCCTTGGCAGAGAAACAGACGGGAAGGCAGGTAGATGGCCACCAAAACCACCCACCTCACAGCTTCTGCTCAGGGTGGGGAGGTGAGGTGTCCTGGGAGGGTGCTCCTGGCGGGGTGGGGTGGACAGCCGGCCACACAAACCTGATGCTTCGTGGCTGCCCTGGCGCATGCTACTCAGCCTCCACGAGCCTCGCTTTGCCCGTCTGCACAGGGGGCAGTGTGCTTGGCTTGCAGGGCTGTCGTGAGAACACATGGAGTGTAGGAAGGATCGTGCCTAAATCCCAGCAGAGCGTCCACAGGGGGACTGTGAGTTGATTCAGCTTCGTCAGGGGCCAGGAGGACTGGAGGGCAGGCTGAGCCCAGAGTGATGCCTGGGGCAAAGGACAGCGCATCTGGAGAGGACGACGGGGCCGCACCGCAGCACAGCGTCACTACACACTCGCTCCTCTAGCCTCTTCGCTCTTATTCACCGAGTCACACCGCGCCAGCCCTCACTTTAAAGGGAACTCAGGGTAAGAACAAAAGCGTTAGGAGCAGCTGGCAAAGGGGGAGATGTGTGTGGGGAGAAGGCATATCATGTAAAGCAGAAATACACGCGTCTTTGTGATACAATTTTACAAAAATGTTCTGCTAATATTTGGATTTCCACCCTCTCTTTGCGCCCTTAACAAGAGGAAACAGGCCAAATCTGACAGTGATATTCATCTCCGTTATTCCCACCCCTCGAGGGAAATGTGTTTATTAATGCGCCTCTTCCCTTGATAAATTACTAAACAGAAAGAAAAGCCTGGCACTCACTTCCCGTGGCTTCCCCTGTGATTTATGACCAGAATTGGTGGAGCCGCTGCATCCGCTCATCTGTGGATGCGCCCGTCCTGACGTCGACGGCCTCCGGGCGACCAGCCACAGCCTGCCCTAACCTAGGCGGGGCCGACGCTGCCCATTCCAACCGCCGCTCACGTCTAGACCCTGTCTCACCACTAGTTCTTTCTTCTGCTCATTCATGTGTTTGTTCCTCACCCAGCAGACCCTTGCGCGGTGTTGACAGTATGCCAGGCAGCGGCTGGAGGCCGCGGGGTCTGCAAGCAAGGAGGACCCCCGGCCTGTGCTCCTGGAGCTCAGCTTCCAGGTGCGAGATGGGAATGCTGGCTACCCGCCAGCAGGGTTCGTTAGGTGCCACCTGTGCTGGGTTGGCCCAGGTGGTCCCGAGTGCTCAGGGGGTGGCTGCATTCCCCGGGAAGGCCAGGAAGGGCAGGAGATGTGGGAATAGCCCTGGACCCAGGTGACCCAGGTTCCCATCTGGCCCGGTAGCTCTGAACTGGGTGGCTTTGGGTGAGCCCCTGAAGCTCTCTGAGCTGGCCCCCCCCACCTGGAAAACAGGCCAACGGCACCTACCTCTGGGTGGCTGTGGGCTACTGACCAGTGTATCCACAGCTCTGGGTGGACCGCCTCTGGACCCAGGAACCTGGGCTGAGGGCGGCCAGAGGGATGCAGGGATCCGAAGGACCCAGGAGCCATTTTTGCTCCAGATGCTACTGTCGTCAGCACCGGGCTGGGACACACCCTCCCTGGGGACAGCGGGCCGCGCTCTGTGGTGAGCTCCTGGGCCCTGAGTCCTTGGTGGTGGGGGGGTCCTCCTGCACGGCCCACTCTCACCCAGACCTGCTCTGGACTCACTGAGGAGAGGCTCTAAGGCCATCTGGCCGAGGACCTGGCCCTGCCCACTGAGCTGCCCCAGCCCCTCACTGCCCTGATGGGGTGAAGAGGGAGCCTGGGCTTCGCAGCCTGACCAGCCCCGGGTCCTGCTTCCTCACCTGTAAAGTGACTCCAGAAGCTTGTCTCACAGGGCTGTTGGCGCAGGCCTAGCAGGTGGCCCCCATGCCTCGCTAGCTGCACCTGAGCGTGCAGCCTGCCCCCAGGCCCCGGCCAGGCCTCTCCTCGGCCTCTCCTCGCGGCAGCTGGCCAGAACTGCCTGCCTCGGGGCCGCCGCGGTCCCTCCGTCAGCTCCGCCTGCCTCGCTGCGGTGTGATCAATGTAATTGGTTTCTGAAACCCCCCTGGACCCACAGGCAGCATAAAGCACGGGCGTCAGAACGGAGGTGACATCCGAGTCAAATTAGTGTCAATATGACAATAAAATACACCGCCTGGAGGAGGCATGGGCTGTAAACAGACAACATTTCAATCGGAAACACTTCCATCTTCCCAATGCGGTGGGAGTGGAGGGAGTGCGGCGGCGGCTGAGCCGCTGGTAAATCACCGATATTCAACCAGCAACACGAGGAAATTCCACTTTAGGGCGCTGATGACGGCGAGAGAATCCGCTCTCCAGAGAGCCCTTGGCAGAGGGTAACGGTGGGTCCCTGACTGGTTATCTGCTGCCTTCCAACGCCCCCGCCACCTCCGTGCTCTCCGGCTACAAGTCAGATCCTTTAAGAATCAGAGGCAGCGAGCCTCCGCCGGCCCCAGGAGGCCAGAGCTCCCAGCAGAGGGGCCGGGCTGCAGGGAGGTGCCCTTTCCTGCCCCAGCCTGGCCTCCCTGGGAGGCCTGGAGTCTGGGCTGTCAGCAGCCTCCCGCCAGGGCATCCCCCTCCTGCCTCCCCTCCCCAAGCCATGCTTTCCCCACAGAGGATGCCTGCCTGTATACATGAGGTTATTTTAGGCTCGATGGAGACAGAGACAGGGACACCTTCCTCAAATATGATCAGGTTTCCCATTAAAAAAAATGCTAAGTTCCATTTTAGCATCCATTTCTTCAACCCCCAAAGGCGAGTCTATTAAAAGTAAAGTATTAAATAAAGAAGTGGGCAGATGGCCCTTGTCTGAGGTGAAATTTTGCGTTGGTTTGCCAATGAGTGGATGGGGCCTGCTCTGCTGGATGCGGGCCCCAGAAGCCATCCCACAACCCTCCCAGGCAGCCTCAGCCTGCAGACCCCGTCCCACAACCTGGCTTGACAGTCAAAACCCTGGAAAGTTCTCTCTGCCCAACTGTTCTGCCTCCTCTTGGGCTGTGAAGGAGGTGCTGAGAGAGGAGGCTGGGGAGGGAGGGTGGCCTTTGTCCTGCCAGGAGCTTACACGGAGCAGCGCCATGCGGGAGGAGGAGACCGGCAGGGCCTCGCTGTGTCCCTCGCATCTAGAACGGCGCCTCATTCAACCTGAGAAGCTGAGATGCCTCCCAGGCCGGAGCTGGAGGGCGGTGCCTCCCTCTGCGTGTGATGAGTTAGTCAGCGGCAGCCGACCCGATCTGGGTGTCCTTGTGCCCACTGTGAACCCACCTCCTCACTCCCTGCCTTCCAGTTCTGATGCCCAGACCCCCCACCCCCCACCCCATGTGGCCCAACGCTGAGTGCCCAGAACACAAAGCTGCCCTGTGCCCAGCCCCGTCCCGGCGCCCTGCAAGCTGACAGCTCTTTTCCAGCTGTTTCTTCGCGAATGAGTTGCATCTTCCTATCCCAGGTGCGTTGTGACTGCCACTCACGCGCGAGCTCACCCACAGACGCAGAGGCCTGCTCCCTGGCAGCCATGCTCAGACCCAGCGTGTAGACACAGAAGTGCCAGCCAGTGCAGATGGAGCTCCTCGGGCCCCGAGGCAGGCATGGAGGACTGGCAGCTGGCCTGGATAGGACTGGGGCATTGTCCCGGGAGATGTGCCAACTGACCCGGGTCCTAGGACACCGTGCAGGATGGAGCCAGGCCGGCCTGCAGGAAGGGCACTGCAGGCAGGAGTGGGGAGCTGTCCGGGGGAGTCTAGATGCAGTGGTGGCGGCAGTGCTGTGTGCCCGCCTTCCCAGAACGGCCTCTCGGCTCAGGCTCATTACCTGCCTCTCGTTGATCTCTTATCCCCTTGGTCACTCGGCAGTCACACCCTGGGGCTCCTAGTCACCCTTTGGGTGACATTCAAACTGTGACATGGTTCCAGTGGCCTTCCCCCCAGCCTCATCTTTCCCACTTGAAAGACGGAAAAAGATACTGGTGGAAAGACATTTAAACTACTGTTAACTGAGCACATACTATAGGCCAGGCACCAAGACAGGTTCACACACAAGATCTTATCCAGTTTACATAGCACGCAGGGCTGGGTGTCACCGCTCAGACCTTCCTGGTCCCATCACAGGCAGGCGCTGGCCTAGGTGTGCCCTCAGCTCACGGCTCACCGCCACCCTGACAAGCGCCCTGGTGTGGCCCAGCTGCTCTGGGCTGAGCTGGAACACGGCTGGTCCAGGGGGCCCTTCCTGAGGCCATGGCTCACCGGCTGGTCAGATGTGCCGGGCTGCCTGGAGGTGGTGGGCCCAGGAAAAGCCAAGATGCCAGTGACAAACAGGGGCTTGGAACCCTGACTAGCCACCTGGGCAAGTCACCTGGGCTGGGAACCCGTTGGCTCATTTTAAGCAGGGGTATACTTCCAGCCTCAGGAGGTGGCTGGGGCGTCACGCGGGAGAATGTGCGGGAGGGCCCAGGACAGAGGCAATTCTCCTCACAGCAGGTGCTCGCGCCTCTCCTGCCCTCGGGACACCTGCTCCATCTGACCCTGCGGCCAGCTTCTCTGTGCCTGCCCACCGTCCAGCTGGCCCAGTCCATCCACACTGAGGCCCTGGGAGGTGGGACCGGTTTGGGGTCACCTGACAGTAGGACATGGCTGTTGGGACACAAGGTCCAGTTTTATGCCCTGTATGTGGTTGTCTGGTTTCTAGCTTCGTCAGGTCATGGGTGCCAACCTCACCACCTGCTGTCACCCTCCGGATCCCACAGGAGCACCCGCAGGGATGGTGGGAGGAGGGAAGGGAGCATGTGGCCAGCACGCACGAGGCCAGCAGGCTGCGCTTCACTCTCTACACCATGTGCCTAGTGCTGGATAAACACCGCCCTGGGGGAGGCATGGGGGGGCCCGGGGGCGGCGGTGAGGGGCAGACACAGGGAGCAACTTCCCATCACGTCCCTCAGGGAGCATCGAGCCCAACGTGGACAATGAATGAGGGGAGGGCTGCAGTGCTCGGCCCGCACACCCTTGGGGACAAGAAGGCTCAGGGGCTCAGGAACCGCCTGATGGCTCCTGCGAGTGCGCACTGAGCAGGCAGAGAGAGGAAAGCCAGCGGGGGTGGGGAGCGCGTCTGCAGGCTTCCTGGAGGGGGTGGGCCACAGCCAGGCCTCAGGAGTGAGGGCGCGGCTCTGCCCCAGCCCACAGATGGAACCATGTGGCTGTCCTTTCCCCTCCCTAACTCCACATCTGACCTGGCAATGAACTTCCGGCTCCACCTTAAATCTATCCGATACGTGAGCGCCTTTCCCTCTACTAATCCACCGCTGCTTCCACGCAGCTCCTACATCTATCCTCAGAGCAGCAGTCAGAGTGAGGTTCCTTTTAAAATACGTCGGACCTCGTTACTCCTCTGTCCAACCCTCTCTGAGGGCCCCATCCCACTCCCCACGAAAGCCAACGTCTTACCAAGCCCCGAGCAGCCTGTAGAAGCAGCCCCAGAATGCGGCACCCCGCTGCTGCCCGGCTCACGGAATGCCAGGCACATGGGCCTCCTGGCCGCCTCGTGAGCTCAGCAGGCCCGCTGCCTCAGGCCCCGCATCTGCTGTTCACCCGCTGGGTCACTCTTCCCGCATATTTCCGCACGGCTCACGTTTTTCAATTCTTTGTTCAAATATCACCTCCCCCGTGAAGGTTTCTCGGTTTCCTCGTTTAAAGTCTCGCCCGCACTGCACGCGGCCGACCCCTCCGGCTTTGCCCGCCTGTCCCCGAAGGCAGAGGTGTGTGTTTGGTCCCCTGCAGTGTCTGCGATCCCTGAGACACTCACTGAGGATTTGTGTGTGTGGCTCAGGCCTGGCCCCTGTGGACACAGTCCTGGCAGGTGTTGGGGTAAATCCAGACCCATCCTTAGGGCTCCTTACCCCCAAGGAGCAGCAAGCACCCGCCTCAGCCCCTGGGGGCACCGTCAGCCCCTCCCATCCCGCTCCCTGCCACCACCTGGCCCAGCACTCACCGTCCACTGGATTGAGGTAGTCGTGGAGGTGGGGGGTGCCAGTGGCGCCCCCCGTCTGCAGGAGCAGGTCCCCGTAGGATGTGGGGTGGCCCGCCATGAGGGCCACCTGGTGGTAATAGTCGGAGGGGTTGGTGCCTGCTGGGGGGAGGCCAAACAGCCCCCTCTCCTTAAGGTGCTCATGGACCACTGTGGACAGAGAGGAGGGAGAAAGAAAGAAGCCATCAGAATCTGGCAAAGGAAGAAAAAAGAGACCTACCGCCTGGCCTGAGGGGTTCCCCTCAGAGTCCTCAAGTCCATCCCTTGTCCTCTGAGCACCTGTGTGCCCCTCCCCCGGCCCCATGTCCGCACCGAGCAGGCCAGGTGGGTGGGCATGTTGCTGCCCATAGGGCAGGAGGCCAGCCCGGCCTCAGCTCTGCATTCCTCCACTTCACCAAAGCCATACCCCACCCTCTCCTTCCCCTCCAAGCCCCGCAGAAGCCCACAGCTCAGGGCCACAGGGCCCGTGCTGCAGCCGAGGCTTCGGAGGAAAGATACAAACGAAGGTGCCAGGGCAGCTGACGGTGGGCTGCCTGGCAGTGCCACTGTGCATTCCAGAGTGCAGCCGAGAGCTGCCGGGCCTGGCTAGATAGAGCCCCTCGCCTGCCACAGGCCACCAGCTCCCTGTCCAGCGGCTGCAGAGTGGGCTGTCTGCCTCCAGCCCTCGTGCAGCCCTGCCCAGGCCTTAGCAGAGACAGGACGGGCACACGTCAGTTCTCAGGGGGCCTGGCCCTCAGGGCTGTGGTGCCAGGGAAAGAATGGGGAGTTTGGAAACTACACATACCCAGGGCGAATCCTAGTTTGTACCAGGTCTGCAGAACTGGGGCAATAATGCCCACCACTCCAGGTCTTACTAATGATTGTAGCACAAGGCTGTGCGGAGCGCCCGCGGGTCTGTGCAGGTGCGGCGAGAGGGAGTCGGTCACTCTCTGATTTCACTGTCGCCACAGGGCAAGCAGGGTCGCCTTTACCTCCCTTAGCTCTTAGAGGGCCAGGGGTCCTGCCCAAGGTCACACAGCAGGCGGCTGGATCTAGAGCTCAAGTTCCCAACCACTGCGCCCATCCCCTGCCATCAGTCCTGCAAATACCAGGGGACACCTCCTGTGGCTGGAGAGAGAAGCTGGCAGCAGAGGCTTCCTCCTCCCGCTATCTGCAGAGTGTGTAGGAATTTGTTCATAGTTTTTTTTAAACTATAGTCCGGCCCTCCAACGGTTTGAGGGACAGTGAACTGGCCCCCTATTTAAAAAGTTTGAGGACCAGCAAGAGTCAGAAATATACTCCTCCTCCTCCCACTCCTCCCCCTCCCCCTCCTCCTCCTCCTCCTCTTCCCTATCTCCTCTGCATCCTCTAGAGAGAGCCTGGCCTCCAGCCCCGGCGCTTCAAGGTCTCTGCCTCTCGTCCATGAAGAAAACGCCCTTGTCTCCCTCATCGCCTGCCCTCTCCTCCCTGAAGTCTTCCCCAGGTGCCCATTCATCCTCGGGCACACGTGGTCTGGCAGATGCTGCCTCGTGCCAGCAGGCGCTGGGCTGATGCTGCCTGGTGGCCGGACAGGCTCCTCAGCCTCCTGGGGGCTGGGCCAGGGCCAGTGAGGCCTCAGGGTGTCTGGTCCACCAGAGGGGGCAGGGTCATGCAAAGTAGCCACAGCCTCTCTGCTGACCCATCGGGCTCTCATGGGTGTGGGATCGGGTAAGTGGGGGTGGTAGGAGCCACCTCAACGTTTACATCAAAATCCGGCCTGAAGTCAGTGCTCGGTCAACTTGAGTCTCCCTTGAGGGCAGCCCGTCTCGCCACTGGCTCTTCACGGGACACACGGAGGTCCCTGGCCCATAGGTCCCCGGAGCATGCTCGGCTCCTGGCCCTCCCTAGACACCCCACGCTCCCCTAGCCCCTCCCCCACAGTGAGTGTGCACTAGCTCCCAGGTGCTGTGACAAGTGAGCGAGCCTTGGTGTAAGCACTGCTAGCACCAGTTTTCCTCCCTCACTGCCTGGAGGCCAGGAGCCCAAGTCCAGGTGCCGCAGCGCCCCCCCCGCCCCCCCGCTCCGAGGCTGTAGGGCAGAATCGCCCCTGGCTGCTCCAGCTTCTGGCTTCCTTGGCCTGTGCAACATCCCTCCCCTCTCTGTGTCTTCTCACCTGTGTGTCTTGTAAGGACACCTGTCTTTGGATTTAGGCCTGAGTGG